CTCCTCCCGAGGGGCCTTTGGCAAAAGGCAACACACTCCGCACTCACACACCACTGCCCCAGCCCTTGGCAAGGAGGCGGGTGGGGGGTGCCGCCTCTCTCTTTGACAGGAAGCTCTAGGGCCAGAGCCTTTTAATTTGTTCTGCTGTCAAATCACAGCTGACTTAGAATCACACAATCATAGAATGTTGGAGTCGGAAGGGACCTTGCAGGTCATCTAGTCCAACCCCCTGCACTCTGCAGGAGCAGAGCCGAAAGATAGCCCTACAACATACCCGAAAGATGGTCGTCCAGCGAAGGAGCATCCACCACCTCCCAAGGCAGACTGTTCCACTGCTCAACCACTCTTACAGTTAGGAAGTTTCTCCTGATATTTTGCCGGTATCAACTCCCTTGAAATTCCCACCCATTAAACCTAGTCTTGCAATCCGGAGCAAGAGAGAACAGATCCGCTCCATCTTCTACATGACAGCCCTTCCGATATTTGAAGACTGCAATCATGTCCCCTCTAAGCCTTCTCTTTCCCAGGCGAAACAGACCCAACTCTTTCAGCCTTTCCTCATAAGACTTGGATTCCAACCCTCTCACCCTCCTAGTCGCCCTCTTCTGGACACGCTCGAGCTTGTCAACATCCTTCCTAAAATGTGGTGCCCAAAACTGGACACAGGACTCCAGGTGAGGCCTGACCACAGCAGAACAAAGCGGAACTACCACCTCCCGTGATCTGGACACAAGGCTTCTGTGAATGCATCCTAAGACTTATGGCGACCCTAAAGGGGTTTTCATGGCAAGAGACATTCAGAGGGGGTTGGCCGTGGCCTGCCTCCGTGTCGCGACCCTGGGCTTCCTTGGCGGTCTCCCATCCAAACACTAGCCAGGGCTGACCCTGCTTAGTTTCTGAGATCTGGTGACATCTGGCAAGCCTGGACTATCCAGGTCAGGGCACAGACGGAGCTACAGAGCAGCAGCCTCCAGCCCAGAGGGTCCCACATGTTCCAGATGCTTGTCCATTGAGGGGCTGACACTGCCTGCTGGAACTGATGGGAGAGAGACCTGGGGTATCACAGGTCACTGAAGAAGAGAAGGAGAAGAGATTGGATGTATACCCCATGGCCCTTCACTACCCAAAGATGTCTCAGAGTGGCTGTGAGGTAGGTGGGGCTGAGAGAGCTCTTTCCAGAACTGTCCTTGAGAGAACAGCTCTGAAAGAACTTGCAACTGACCCAAGGTCACACCAGCAGCTGCAAGTGGAGGAGTGGGGAATCAAACCCGGTTCTCCCAGATTAGAGTCCACGCATTTAACCACGACACCAAACTGGCATTGAGGCTGCGGTGACTCTCTCTCTCAGCCCGGAAGGTCTCGGGAGATCTCAACATCTACGAGAAAAACCAAGACTCCTAATTCTCTGAATGGCCCTCGGCACTTGTCGAGAGCTGTCCTACACTTTACTGCCACCACTGCTGGCAAATAAACGTTTTTCAGGTGGGATGACGGGTCTGTTCTGAAGGCATTTACTGGCCGGTTTCTCGGTTTCACTGCTCCTGGCTGCATCATTTTATGCATCAATTTCCCCCCCTGGCTGCTAACAGAGTTGCCGCTGCTGACATTTGCTTGAACAGACTCTCTACCCCATTGTGTCGATTTCACACCTTTCGAAAGCATCAAACCGTGTTTGGAGTGCTTTTTCAAGTCGACAAATCCAACCGGTAACATTAAAAATATCATAAATCTGGCTTTTCCCCGATGCATCGATGGCATTTAAACGTAGTAGTCACACATACTACCAAAAGCTCAGCCACGGACACTGAAGGACCCCCACGGAACTCACAACAGACCAGGCACAGAGTAGGAGGGAAGTCCCAGGAGCATCACACCGGAACCAAAAGAGCCTCAAAAAGAACTTGGAAAGGAGGCCCTTTGCTCTTAGCCTCGCCAGTTCATGTGTGGCCTCAGGGGTCATTTCCTGCAGGAGCGCACAGGAGCAGAACTCCGGCAGTAAGGAGCCCAGGGGGCAGGCACATGCAACAAGCCCCACCCCCTGCTCCCAACAGCCCTCAGTTGGGCAATGAGGAGCAAGAAGCAGCCAGGTAAGTTGCAGAGCCCCCCCCCCCGGGCCTGTCTTCAGGTACAAGCTCTCCCTCCCCTGTGAGAACAGATCTGCACGTCCCCCCCCCACTAGCTAGCAATCGAAAACAGTCCAGTGGAGCCTGAGCGGTGGGTGTTGCCTTCTGACCCACTTCCGGTGATGTCAGGGGGTGTGGCCTATGCAAATAAGTTATGCCAATGAGCTCCTGCACCTCTTTTTCTAAGAAATGACCCCTGGGCCTCACGAATTACAGCTCCCAGTCATCAGCCCACCAATCCCTTCCGCCGGCTCCCGCTACACAAGAGGAGACCACGACAGGTGCCTCAATTGTGTCTGCTCCATTGACACTGGACAGCTCTCGTTTTCTTTCTGACCCTGTTTTATCCATATTTGGAGGACGGTTTCTGAAATTCTGCTGCGCACGCGTAAAGATAAACTACCGCTGCATGGGTCCCCTTCCACTCCTCCAGCACCGTCCAGAGAAGAATGCCTGGATCTGTCCCACAAATAAATCCATAGTGTGCAATGAAGCATTCCATTTATGTTTTCTAAGGACATTAGTAGGGTCTAACATGCCTTGGTCCGCAGTTTCCAGGATAGGGCAGGTGGGGTGCTGCCGAATAAAAGAAGCTCTGGATACTGGGCCACCAGAACTGCAGCAGGTGTTCCCTCTGGGGCCCATCCCACACTCTTGAGACCCAACCCAAACACGTGGCAAAAATCACATGGCCTCCAAGGGCCTCCAGGGTAACCAGGGTCTCTGAATCGTCCTCCCCTAGCCCCCCCACAGACACACACACACTTGGAGGAAGGACTGCATAAAAATGCATAGATCCGGGGTGGCTGGACTGTGGCTTCGGAGTAGGGTTACCAAGTACCTACCTTTGAATCGGCGGGGGACACATGGTTCCCGGCTGGAACATCCCTCGGTGGAACACCTCTCCGCTGCACCATGCCGTCGCCCAGATGAGAAGCCAGCACGCTGGGCCTGTAGCTGGGCGACGCTCTGGCAATGGAGCTGGAAACTCGATGGTACCATCGAGTTTCCAGCTCCATTGCCAGAGCGTCGCCCAGCTACGTGCCCAGCGTGCTGGCGTCAGGTCTGGGTGACGGCATGGTGCGGCATGTTGGTTTTCTGCGTGGGAATGTACCTGACAAGACTAATGTGTCCCCCGCCGATTTGAGGTCAGTACTTCGGAAGCCTACTTGGGAGCCACATGTGGCTCTTTCACACATATTGCGCGGCTCCCGGCAGGCCGGCTGGGGAAGCGAAGGGGAGGCATGCCTCCCCTCCCCGATCGGTCTTCCCTTCCCCAGCCAGTGTCCCTGGGTAGGCTTGAAGTGGGGGGGGGGGCAGAGAAGGAAAGCCACTTTAACGTCAAGTTGCTGGCACTTTACTATTGCTAGCACTTTACTATTGCTACTGCTGCTATTGCTGCCGCTAGCACTTTATGATCGCTAGCGCCAGTTTGGTGTAGTGGTTAAGTGTGCGGACTCTAATCTGGGAGAACCGGGTTTGATTCCCCACTCCTCCACTTGCACCTGGCTGAATGACCTTGGGCAAGCCATTACTCTGGCACAGCTGTTCTTGAAAAAGGGCAGTTTCTGTCAAGAGTTCTCTCAGCCCCACCTACCTCACAGGGTGTCTGTTGTGGGGAGGGGAAGAGCAAATGAGATTGTAAGCCGATCTGAGACACCTTTGGGTAGTGAAGGGCGGGGTATAAATCCAATCTCTTCTCTTCTCTTCTTCTTCTCTTTACGATGTTTTTAACATTGCATGTATACTAATTTATGTGATTTTACATATTGTATCGTTTGAATTTTACTCTGCTGTAAGCCGCCCTGAGCCAGGAGGGCGGGGTAAAAACCTAATAAATAAATAAATGTAAATGCATTCTCAAAGCACCCACACACACACCTACAAATATCACTGGATCAATAAATATCATTATCAATATCTGTTCTTAAACCCATTTGTTTTTATTTTTGGCAGTCTCACTTAATGTTAATAACAAGCACATCTGCATATTTTTCAAAACCCTGTGTGTAATATTTGTTCATATCTTGCGGCTCTCAAACATCTGGTGTTTACTCTGTGTGGCTCTTATGTTAAGCAAGTTCGGCCACCCCCGGCATAGATCGTTAAAGGCGAGAACCCATCTTTTCAAGAAGTGAAACTGCCATCTAGTGAGTCGGCCCACTGGTCTATCGAAGTCTACACTGACCAGCAAAGACTCTCAAGGGTCTCCGGTGGAGGTGTTTCACATCACCTGCTACCTGATCCTTTTAGCCGGCAATGCCAGGGACCGTACCTGGGACCTTCTGCATTCCAAGCAGATGCTCTGCCACTGAGCCACAGCCCTTCCCCGTGTTCTTTCTTTCTTTCCAAGGTAACAGCAATGCTCAAGGGGGGATTTTTTATTCAGCCACACCAGGAAGGGCTACATCCCTTCTCTTCCCCCACCCCTGCCCCCTCCACACAGGGCCGGCTCGAGGTGTTTCTGTGCCCTAGGCGAGGCTGCCTTGTGGCGCAGATGCCAACCTCCCGGTGGGGCCTGGAGACCTGGAGACCTCTGGAGCCAGCCACCCTTTTGCTGCCGCCACCACAGCCTCTTCCCCCCCCCGCCGCCACCAAAGGGGGGGAGAGGGGAGGCACATCCAGGGCCCGGCGCTCTAGGCGAATGCCTAGTTCGCCTAGTGGGTGAGCCGGCCCTGCTTCCACATGAGCTATTAACTTCCTAATCACCCTGGAGGGATACCATGATGGACCTTCCCAGAGTCCATTCAACCCCTGAGACATAGCTGGGATTGGATGGGTTGCATGAAAAGCCCTTAAAAAAGGGATTCATGCACACTGCACCCCGGGTCCCGATTCTCTCCCACAGTCCCCAGGCCTTCAAGGGCCTCTTCTCACCCAATGCGTTCCTGCTCCATCTCCTCCATCTTCTCCGCTCGAGCAATGACCCGGTTGATGATCTCCTTCTCCTCGTCCGTCAGCTCGTCATTCTTCCGCGCACGCTCTGGCGGGTTCCCGTGGACCGACCAATTGCCAGAGGCCCTGCAAAGCACACAAAGATGAGTTGGGAGTATGGAAGGCGGACACTAAATTGAATCCTGTGGATAAGAACGGCTAAAGGTGGTGTCCTGCCCCACCATTGGCAGTACAGTCTTCAAAGGGAAGGAATGCACAGCCAAGTCCTCAAAGGGAATGCTCCTTCCGCTTGCGGTCCAAAACAGTCCAGTGGCACCTTTAAGACCAAGTTTTATTCAGATACAAGCTCTCCCTCCTCTGCGAGGGCAGATCTGCACATTCCCCCCCCCCCAACAGCTAGCAATCCAAAACAGTCCAGTGGAAACTGAGCGGTGGGTGTTGCCTTCTTCTGACACACTTCCGGTGATGTCAGGGGGTGTGGCATAAGCAAATGAGTTATGCTAATGAGTTGTGCTAATGAGCTCCTGAACCTCTTTTTCTACTAAATGACCCCTGGTCACACCTGAAGCTGATATTCAAAGGTATGCTGCCTCTGAACATGGACATTCCATCTTGTCAACCTGGCTAATCGCCATTGATGGAACCTCTTCCATGAACTTGTCTAATCCACTTTTAAAGGCAAATTTAAGAACATATATAAAACCAGGGCTATTTTTGGGCAGGAAT